GGTGTCCAAATGAATTTTCTTCTGTGTCCAAAAGCTACTGTGTCCAAAATTATTGTGCCCAAATGCACTGTGTCCAATAGAACCGTGTGCAAAGTTTCGTGTCCATTTGCAACGTGTCCATTTGCATCGTGTCCAATTGTACTGTGTCCAAGTGAAGGCCACTCGGAAAAGTTTACTAACGATATACAAACTGCGGTATGGAACAGTACTCCGATAATACAAAGGAAAACAGTAGGTATGAACTACCCTAAAGAGATAAGGGAACTTCCACCGTTAAAAAAAACTGCGTCGAAAATGGCACCTAACAAGAGCACCGAGGAATAAATCAGCCCTTAATAAAATTACACAGCAATTAAGTAATGAAATCAAGGAGATTTAGAATGAGCTCATCAATAATTTCCTGATAGAACTGACTGATGACAAAAGTACGAACTATTCTCTCTGGAAAGCTACCAAATACTTAAAAAGACCGACAATTCAGATTCCTCAGATCAGGAAGACCAATGGGCAATGGGCCAGGTCCTGCGAAGAGAAAGCAGGTGTCTTTGCGAATCACTTGGCTAGTATTTTCCAAACAAACGAAAGGCTAGGCTATGATACGAGTTGTGATGAGCTGGAACAAGACGGTACAAGTAATATAAATATTCCGCTAGTTACTCCCAACGAAATTTATAATGAAATTCAAAATAATCTAAAACCTAAAAAAGCACCTGGCTTCGATCTTATAAACGGCGAACTGTTAAAACAATTACCGAAAAAAGCGTTGGTTAAACTAGCTAATCTGATTAATGCTACTTTCCGCTTGAAGTATGTACCAAGATTTTGGAAGGTTGTCGAGGTCATCATGATATTGAAACCTGGTAAAGAACCACATAAAATAACTTCTTATACGCCCATATCGCTGCTGCCTATTATGGCTAAGCTATTTGAAAGGCTGTTATATAAAAGATTGAAACCGATTATCGAGCTCAAAAATATAATCCCATCGCACCAGTTTGGTTTTAGAAATAAGCACTCGACTATCGATTAGGTCCACAGAATCACAGATATTATAGAAAAATCTCTCGAACACAAAAGAATCTGCTCTGTTGTCTTCCTTGTGGCGCAAGCGTTTGATAAAGTGTGGCATGATGGACTGATTTATAAAATTAAACATCTTCTCCCTAACCAATATTGCCTATTACTAGAATCATATCTAACAGAGAGATTCTTCTGGGTTAAACAAGAAAATGCCTACTCAGAATTAAAGGAAATAAAAGCAGGGATTCCCCGAGGAAGCGTCTTGGGACCAGTACTATATCTTCTTTATACGAGTGATTTACCAACGCCGCCCGACAATACAATCGCTACGTTTGCAGATGATACTGCAATATTATCTACTGGTAAAACCATTGAACAGTCAACAGCAAAACTGCAAGAAGCAGTAGATCAGGTCATTAACTGGGCAAAAAAATGGCGCATAAAACTAAATGAAATGAAGTCGGTGCATGTCAACTTCACCAATAAAAGACTTCAACACTTTCCTCGAATCATCATTAACGCAACCTCGATTCCACACTCAAACACAGCAAAATACCTTGGTATGACGCTGGAATCTAAACTCTGGTGGAAGCAGCATGTTAAAAAGAAAAAAGAAGAACTTAACATTAAACTCAGAAAAATGTACTGGCTCATAGATAGAAAATCGGAATTATCATTACATAATAAGCTAGTACTCTATAAACAAATCCTGAAACCAGTTTGGACCTATGGAATTCAGCTATGGGGCTGTGCTAAGTAAATTAATACTGATGTTATACAGCGTTTTCAAAACAAAGTACTCCGAATCATAGTTGATGCACCGTGGTACGTTAGAAATAATGATCTCCACCGTGACCTAAACATGGATACGGTAACCAATGAAATTAAACAATTTGCTCAAGGCCACGAACAGAGGTTACAACCGCACGTTAGCGAGGAAGCGTCCACATTACTCGATAACGCTGGGCTATATAGAAGACTTAAAAGGACCAAGCCTTTTGAGCTTGTTGCCTAACATAATTAACTGGAAGAACCGATGATTTAACTTGGATTAACGTTAATTATTATGACAAAACTAAACTGATCGTTAGTTCTCAACTAGTTTCAGTACAAGAATGTTAAAAAAAAAAATTATCATATACATTTTCACACTCGATGTGATATATGAGACTGTCGATGTCGGTGTACATAACTTTCTTTTTATATATAATAATCTTTATTTAACTTCAGCTTAACGCCAAGAAGTGGACTTGGTTTACACATTTCCTATAACTCACATACCTTTCTCATTCTCTTATGCATACCCTTATAACTACCTTATATTCCTATTTTTTTTTATAACATTCTCCTTCTCCTTCCAAATTTTCCTTAGTAACCTTCCTTTCGCATCATCTAACACATCGTTCCACAATTTTTCCTCTACTTCATTCTCATTCTTACCTATTTCTATAAACCAACTTTTAGTTACATCACAATCTTTAAAATAATGGTTTATACAATCTTCGCCTATACCGCAAAATACACATGCATACGCTTCCTCCCCTAACCAATACTTATTTCTATCCTCCATGTTTTTGCACCTTAACCTTAATAAAGCCTTTACGCTGTCGCCTAAATTTCCTATATCCATATTACCTTCCTTTAAATACATTGGCCCTTCCAACCTTGTTTCCAAATCCTTGTATTTCTTATTATATCTAGCTTCCCTAATTTTATTATCCTCTAATTGTCTCTGCACTTCCCTGTCCCTATTTCTCAACTCCTCACTAATATCAATTCCTTCCTCTCTTAAAATTTCTAATGCTTCAATACCCCACCCATTTCTATTATAATATTTTTCTCTCTTCCTACTATACATATCCCTCCCTCTATTTACTTCTTTTTCCATCCAACACTTTTTTACCCATCTAATTTCTTCCATACCTCTTATCTTTTCCTCATATCTCCATGATATTATACCCCACTCTATCCTTAGTTTCTTTAAACCTAATTCTCTCGACATTAAATACCTTGGCGTACAGAATTCTAACCTGAATAACCATCTTACGTAATCTAACATCACTCTTTCTAATTCCTTCTTCTCCTCCCAGCCCCATATTTCCACACCGTAAGACATTACACTCTGCACCAGATACCTAAATAACCCCCACCTTCTTGTAAAATCATCTCTACAAATCCTTTCCCCCAAACCCCATGTTTTATTGGCTGCCAACCTTCCCTTGTTATATAAATCCTTTATGTGTTCTTTATAATTTCCATTACTATTAAACACAAAACCTAAATACTTGAAAACCTTTACCTCCTCTATATCTTTCCCTTCCCATTTCCATGACTCTTTCTGTTCCCTATTTCCTCTGTTAAAAACCATCACCTTTTTTTTCGGTACATAATATCATTTTCCTTTTCTTTAAATATCTCTTTACTGTCTGCAACATATCCATCAGTACCTCTTTATTCTTTGCTATGAAAACCATATCATTCGCATACTCTAAGGACCATAGCCTATTTCTACCTACTCTTATACCTCCTATATTACGCCTTTCTAACTCCTTTCCTATCTCCGCTACATACAAGTTGAACAGCAGAGGACTCATCACACAAACTTGCCTTACTCCCTTCGTTGTAAAAAACTTCTCAGTGATATCTTCTTTTACCCTTACTGCTACCTCCGTTTCTTCATATATCCTTTCCACCTTACAGACGAGGTCCTCTGCGACTTTTTTCTCCCTTAATCCTTTCCACAGTTGTTCCCTTTCCACATTATCAAAAGCTGCTTTCAGATCTACAAACATAGCATAAA